GGGGGGGGGGGGGGGGGGGGGGGGGGGGGGGGGGGGGGGGGGGGGGGGGGTACAACAGGCTGAAAAAGAGTACGATGTATACATCGTCACATGATTATTAAAAAAAACAAAAAAAAAAATGGCTGGCAGCCCACCAACACACAATGCACAAACAGACAAAGGCGCAGCAGAGCAGCTGCAGCTGCAAGCACCAGCATCGGTCGTACGGTCGTTCACCAACGACCGACAACCGAAACACAGAAGACCAGCCAGTCCACCTTTCACTGAAACCCCTCTTCCACCCATTTCCTATCTTCCCCCCAATCTCAACCTTCCTCTACCCAACACCCATTCGCCTTCTCTAAGCTGCCGGAGGGCAAGAAAAGCTGCCTCCTTGTAATCCCCACGGGAGGGGAAGAAAAGCTGCCTCCTCTCAGTCCCCATGGCTACCACTGCACAACGACACAGGCCACTTCACCTACACTATACCGTCATTTCATCATCATTGGCGAATCTCCTCTCTATACCTATGGACATCATTATCTTCAGACAGACTTAATATCCCTATCAAAGTCAAAGTCATCATTAATTTACCGTCATTTCATCATCAGTTGGCGTTAGATTCGCCGATGGACGGTCTTCCCAAAACCACTGAAACTCACAGAGACCAACTCGGGAGATGTTAGCATGACGATCTTCGTCATCATTACACCAAGGTCACTGACTACCCCCACAAACCACAAAGTTAACGGAGTCAATAATACAATCCTCTCTCTCTCTCTCTCTCTCTCTCTCTCTCTCTCTCTCACACACACACACACACACACACACACACAAACACACACACACATCAGATGCTTGCAACAGCGATGTGAACACCCAAATCCCTCTTCTCACCATCTCTCTCTCCCTCTTCTCACCATCTCTCTCTCTCTCTCTCTCTCTCTCTCCTGGCCGTGAAACAGGGCGTCCGCGGGCACGAATGCAGGAGATGACGAGGTGGTCAGCACGTGACAATATCCATGTCCAAAAGGAGAATGAATTAGAAAGAGAGAAGTGGAAGTGACCTGTCGCTTGGAGAAAAGCGGCTCTTTTCTGCAAAACAGGAAATTTCTCGAAGTGTAGGATACCTTTTCCTTCTCCTCCTCGAGTTGTCCAGGTGAGGGTACCCGCCTCGAGTTTCGTCCGGTTATTCGTTCGGGATGTTCCGTGAGTCAATCTTCGTCCAGATACATCGAAAACAATGATCTGCATTCCACGGCCTTGCAGCCAACGCTCTTCCACGTTAATTAGTTTCCAATGGAAGTGGATCGAACAATATCAAACAGCCCGCCGACGCCGACGCGTGTCACACAATCAACAAGCAAACCAGCTGCCTTCCCTCTGCTCCTGAATACATGTTCGACAGAATCCGGTTGTCATGTGTGCCCTTAACGACCTCAAACACAAGTCAGAAACGCCGAAGAAGACTTCACACACACACACACACACACACACACACACACAGAGAGAGAGAGAGAGAGAGAGAGAGAGAGAGGCTTACGCTTGACGAATGAAGGTGGTACACGTCACATTTGTCACTTGGCTAAGAGCTGTCGAGACGGCCTTCTGGTCACAAACGAGCGCAAACCGGAGCCACCACTATCGACAGAACATTCATCACTCTCCCCTTCTCTCTCTCTCTCTCTCTCTCTCATCGCAGGCGCACATGAAATGGGGCATCACAGGTCAATGAACAAAGAGAGAGGAGCACTGTTGTCCGACTCTCCCTTCCAGACAGGGCGATTAATCGAGAAAGCAGCGAACCCCTTTGTTTCGCGCACGCCAACCGGCTGCTGCTCTTGGGATTCAAACTGCTGCTCTGGCAAACAAAACGGCAATCTTTGCATCGACAGATCGACCTGTCTGCGTATGACATGGATCCATCGCCGTCCCGAGCGACGACCAATCAATCTACCATTTCGCCTAGATACGCTGTATATACAGTGTCGCAGAGAAAAAGCGTGGGATGAACGGACAGAATAGACTAGTAAATGGGGCTCTGTGTGACAGACTATATCGTCAAACTCCCACTCACCATTGCCGGCTGAATGATTCACACAAGGGTGGGTTTAATCTAGGGACGTATCCTTCGACCGGTCGGGGCCCATGACCAAGCCAAAGACCCGTTGACAAGACCAGTCGTGGGCCTCCGACCGGTCGAACTCTGCCAACGACCACGATTTGTCAAAGTCGTCAGGCGACCGAACTCTATCATCGTCAGGCGACCGGTCGATCTCTGCCAACGACCGCATTCGTATAATGTGCTGCAGAAGAATCGGAATGCTTTCTCCGACGGAGGAATCCCTCTGTCCATGACCAATACAAAGACCGATCGACAAAGCCGGTCCTCCTCGGGCGACCGCTCGATCTTCCAACGACCAGGACTTGCCACTGTCGTCAGGCGACGGACGAACAACCTGCTGGTGAATGATTCGCAATGTTTACATCGACGGAGAGTATCGCTCTGGCCGTGTGATCCAGACAAAGACCGGTCGGCAAAGGCGGGTCGCCGGAGGCCGCCCGGTCGAACTCCCCACGACCAGGATTCGTCATCGTCCTCAGGCGACCGACAAACAACCTGCTGCTGAATGATTCAATTCGCTGTGGCCACGACGAAGACAAAGACCAGTCGGCAAAAAGACGAGTCGTCGGCGGCCGACCGGTCCGAGTCCGCCGGTCGGCGGCAGCAATGAATGATTCGCTATTGTTTACATCGACGGCGAGTATCGCTCTGGCCGTGCGACGACCAGGATTGGTCATCGTCCTCAGGCGACCGACGAACAACAACCTGCCGCTGAATGATTCAATTCGCTGTGGCCATGACCAAGACAAAGACCGGTCGGCAAATACATGCGAGTCGTCGGCGGCCGACCGGTCCACATCCGCTGGTCGTCGGCAGCAATAGCAGTGTTTACATCGACGACCGAGAGTTTCGCTGTGGCCATGACCAAGACACAAAGCCCAGCCGGCAAAAAGATCATTCGTCTGCGGCCGACCGATTCACATCCGGCAACGACCAGGATTTTCATCGTCGTCAGGCGCCCGATCACCAATCACCAATCACCAATCAACAATTCAATCTATATCATCGCAATTTCTCACCGGCGTTAGTATATCGTGCTGCTGCCGATCTTCCCATCCTTCAAGCCGAAACGACCGATGTGTACAGCAATGAGCCACCTGATCGTCGTTGAGCGGCAGACACATTCGACTATATATTGTCACAAAGTTAACAAACACCGTGTCAATTGCTCACTGGGATTCGATCTGCTGATCTCACGCACCGCGCACCCATCCATTACGCAGCCGGCCTTCCAATTGCCACCATAGTGACCCGCCGACTGTACATACCGGGTGCGCATCGGATGGATCAATCAATACGGTTGGGTCCCGATTGATCAATCAATAGGGTCGGGATCTCAATTACGCACAATTCAAACATCATCCGGTGCGCACACGGGATTCGTCGAACTGTGAGTAAACTTTTCGCGCCAAGTTTTCAATCCGCTCATATGGATTGATCCATCCACCTCCATCTCGTTCATCGTCGTTCATCGTCGAAAATGGAAATAACACAGGAGTCATGAGCACCATCGCTCGTGTGTGTGCAACTCTCGTCGATCGATCATAATTACTATACCCCCGTCGATCAACCGGCGTTAACCCATTGATTGATTGATTGATTGATTGATTGATTGATTGATTGATTGATCAATCGGGACCCCAATCTAATGATTGATCAATCGGGACCCCAATCTATTGATTGATCAATCGGGACCAATCAACCCTATTGATAGATCAATCGGGACCAATCTATTGATTGATCGATCGGGACCAATCTATTGATTGTTCGATCGGGACCAATCAATCAGTCTACCCATCGTCATCAAAAACAACGTTAGAAATGACACGATGGTACACGCGGGAATCACACATAGGTCAGCGAAACATCGACGTATTCACACGCCACTATACACAGGCAAGCAGAGAGAACCTCTTACCCTCCCAAAAGCAGATTCGCGCCGGTTGCCGCCTGTTCACCTTTCGACTGGGCGGGTGGGCACTCGCCAATTGACATCTTCAAATCTTCAATTTGCCAATAAATACTAAAAATGCTTCAATCAAAACAGCCCAGACCCACTAACTAATTAATAAATAAATCGACAGACTAATCGGGGAAAATCACGATCACAAGTCACGAGTCATCATGACATCGAATCGATCCACAGCTCGAGAGCTTCAGATAAGCTCACCGATCGAAAAATAGACGATTGCAACCCCTTCCTACCGCTCTTTTCACCCCGCGTTTGCACACGCCGTTTTCACCCGCGTTCTCTTCTCTAGCACTTCTCTCTTCTCCCCCCTCTACTTCCTTCTCTTCCTCCCTTTCAATTACGGGTCGACTTCGCCATCTGCCTTCTTCCGACGATCCCCCGCCGCTCGCCGCCCGCGATCGACAAACTAAAGTCTCTCTCTCTCTCTCTCTCTCTCTCTCTCTCTCTCTCTCTCTCTCTCTCTCTCTCTCTCTCTCTCACACACACACACACAC